AAACTGACTAATGGCAATTTCCATTTTTCCCAAAAAAAAGCCGTGGCTCGAAAGTACGCCGACTGGCGTGCTCCAAAATAGGACGTTCCATATGGGAGCATAGCAGTAACAACTACACCCAATCTCAAACATGTGGGTCAAACGGTTCCTGAGTTATCGTTGACCGAAACCAAATGTTGACGGACGGACGAACGGACGGACGGACGACCGGACAGACGTACGACGGACGACGACCCATGGCAATAGCTCAGCTTGACGATGTCAAGGTGAGCTAAAAATGACATGCTTACTGGAAAAGTGCTGTTGGAATGGTGGTTTAGGTGCTGCCTTATCCAGTGGAAAACTGTTATGCAGCAGACATCCCACTCCAACAATCTGAAACAATTTACCAAGTATAAAATGTATAGATATGTCACCAAAATTAAAATCAACCATGCCATTCATGTTGGGTGGAAATTAATGTGGATCTGGAGTCAAATGCTTTCTGTATTACTGTCGGACACCCTAATTCCAAAAAATCACAACGACTAAACACGTACAATATTGCTTATATTGCAAAATTGCTTAGCTGAAGATAAATGAATGCTGATTTTTAACAGGCTTACCTCGTTCTCGTGAGTACTGCTGTTGAAGGCACTTCTGATTGTCAACGCCAGACAGACAACAGGGGGTGGCTTGAGATCCGCCCCGGTTCTGCTGATGTGACTCGGACTACTTACAACTGCTTCAATCTTACACCAGCTCAACGGTGGACTGTTCACCTCTGGGAAAAGCCGATTAACCGACATACAGTCAAACTTATACATAAGGGTCAATCGAAGGAAATGCTTAGTGTCCTCTATAAAAAAAACTATCCCTTTCAGAGAGGTACTTCTATTCCCCCACCGCTAGCATGGAGTTAACTGTAGTGTGTAGCACATAGCAGGGCAAAGAACAGCAATGCAAATCTTTTCTAGAGCATGAAAAAACAAGGGCTAGATTATTGTAAAATTGCACACTTAACAAGGAACAATTTACTGCTTAGCTATTTACAATAGTTAAAAACAGAAGGCACTCGATCGAAACAACGAAAACAAAGTGTACCCACGTGGTATGGTGATGTCCAACCAGCAGGGTCCCTTAATTTTCAGGTCCAGAAGCAGCATCTCCAAACTTGAAATAAAAATATTCTTCAGATATAGTGCTCTCTGGTTAAACTCTGGCACATACCTCTATACCGCAAATCACGGTGTCATTGATCATTACTAGTAACACAATTTAGAGCCTACTCACCATGCTGTGTTCGTTCCAAATACATGGCTGAAGGTGTTCCCACAGAGATTGGATGGCAGTGCAGGGAAATCGTGCTAAAATATATTGAGATAGCTAGCAATGATTGCAAACTGCTACTCAAAGTTAGGACTGCACAGACTAGACGATAAATACAGCTCGTGTAATGAGTGTGAATCATTTCTATGTTAAAGCAGTTATCCTCTTCCTCCCGCAAAACCAATCAAAGATGAGATAGGAAAAAGAAATGATCCATTCATTAAAGTGAAATTCCATAAGGACTGCTTTACCACTGGTACGTATATTCAATGGTAATATCATCTCATCTATACTTTACATAAATTGAAAAGAGAGGATAAAGTCTGTTGTTAGCAGGCACTTATTCAATACAGAGAAAACGTTAATATTTAAATTGAAATGTAATGTGATACGTACCGAATATTTAACTTCCAAGTAGTCAGCTTCGGACGGAACTTCAAACTTTTCAAATGCATAATATTTTTTGGCTCGCTGCAAATAAAAATAACCAGAAATATAATATGTGCTGCAAAACAAAAACCATCATTTAACTACATAAGAGTCACCTGCAGTAAACACATGGAAAAATCAAGCAGCAATGTGTGCAACATTTCTATCTAATACAAAAAACCATGAAAATTTAAGTAACCAAACCTAGGCCACACCTTACACTTGAACTTTCTTATGTGATATTCAGTTGCATATTTGTCGTTGAATTCATTGTAAACATCTTGGAACGTCATCTGCATAAAATGAAATCAACAGTATAAATAATGTGAGGAACTGGAAGGGAAACTAATTAAAGACTATAAATGGTGTTTTCATCAATACATTTATATCAAACAGCACACATGTACTAGAACAGCTGTAGGACCATTGTTGGATCCTGAAAATGTAAATTGATACGTCAATCATTTCTATTGCTAATGACAGAAACCTGCCATTACCTTCAGTCACAAAAACTTACATCATCCTTGGGCAGAAGAAAGATTTGTCTTTCGATGTTCTTGATGATCAGGCAGCAGCTGATGTAAGTTTTGCTTGCTTCTAACCACACCTTCCCAAACATGTAGACTGTACCTATAGCATTATCACACACACTCATTTACTATATAGACTTTAAAGTTACCTATACTGTATACATTATCTCTGCCCACACAAGGTGTAGGGCACCTGAATTATGGCAGACACACAGCAAGGCAGGTACAAGCAAAGCAAAGCAAGGCAAGGCACGCCCGCAGGCAGAAACTCAAGCTGGCATATGCACTGGCAGGAATGTATTCATATGAAAACGTGTGTATTCATTGTTCACATGCAGATACAACGAGCCAGTTTCAGCCCACACATGGCAGCAAGAAGAATGCCATCAGCTAACCCCACCCAGTAATGCTGAGAGGGTCTATGTCCCCCAGGGTACTATCGGAGGGTACCCTGGGTACGGTTCGATATATCGGAACGTACCCTGGTACTATCTAATATGCCGGACCGTACCTCGCCTACTCCACTAACGAGTCTAGGGAGTCGCCTATGCCTACTCCATACCTGCCAACCTGTGATTCATGAAAATAGTAAGGCTTTTCTATTTTTGCAGCAGGCGGCCATTTTGTTTGTATGTTATGCGCGCAATGAATGATGGACTAACTCTAGATCACGCGAGAACAACGTGAACGCGTGATCCAATATGGCTGCGCCCACAATCGCCAGATATTTCTCGGCTCACAATGTAAAAAACATTAATTTTCACAAGTCGTAAAAATTCGTTTTTCAGTTTGATCGTACATTCGTAGAAACATCATGGAATTCGTAAGGAATACGAAAAAATCGTAAGGGTTGGCAGGTCTGCTACTCCCTAACCCTAACCATATCAGATAGTTACCAGGGTAGCTACAAGAAACACTGAACCAGGTGCATCTCGTGAGAAACGGGTGGATTTCAAGTCTCTCATGGCTCACATACGCACCACAATCACTGCAACCGATGGTTGTTTCATTACCTGTCTGTTTGAACGGGTCTTCATATGCATCAAGCCAGAACATCCGTAACACCTCGTCCCCACTCTCGTTGGTTACTGTCGGCAATGTCAAACTGTCAACCTGAACGGTGACAGTCCTATCATTGGCTTCGTTGATGTCATCTGTCGAAGATTTGCATACCTCCCACCCGGTCTCCCATTTCTTCTCTTCTGGGGCCCACCTTGATGAAAATAAAAGATGTTTAACAAATTGCTAGGGCTTCTCCAAAGGTTTAATACTAATGTTTTAGATCTGAAAAGTATTAGCAAGATCATTTTGCGACTGTTGGTATTATTGGTTAAAGTAGATCAATTGTATTAGCTTTACAGCTAAAGCAAACATGCCTTTTATCAACTTTAGTAGGTGCCACTGAATCTATTTCTGTAAGCTGTTGATCGTCGATCTTTCTAGCTTCTGCTGAAGATGACTCCTCAAAAGCGCCATCCTCAAAATTGATGTCCTCTAGCATCATCTCTGGCTTCGTTCTATCTACATCTGCAAACATCAAGCTCAATTAATCAAAGCAAATAGATAGCATTATTCACGAACAGTTCCTACCTACTACTACCTACTATACTGTTCTTATTACCATGAGCACATCTATACATTCTATGAAGAGCTCATAATACAGTGTATAATAGGAGAACAAGAAAATACTGCTATTTTACACCAATATTTTCCCATTTCCCGTTATACTGTTATACACTATATATTATTAGCTCTTGATTGTATGGATATGTTCAAGCTATCGCCCTGCCAAAGTATGATTTTATCGGAAAACACTGTGTCAAATAAGATAGTACCAGGAGCAAAAACTATTTACTATTAAAAACTATTTAAAGAAAACGTTGATCATTCACCACTAACCAGGTTTATTCTCCAATATCTCGTTCGTGCCAACTTTGACATCAGGCTGCGAGTTCATGTAGTCGACATTGTCTAATTCCTCCAGGTCCTCGTCTGCCGTTTTCACCGCTCCTCTCGTCTTCCCTTTACTGCGACCTGGCTGGTTCACTGGCAGTGATGCCCAGCGTTTTGGTGTTGTTGTCACCGTCGGTGTCGGTGCCTGCTGCGTTCTCGGCAATGCCACATACTTTGCACCTCCCGACAGTTTCGTAGCAAACGGGTTTACCGGCCTAAAACGCCAAATCATTAAAATTTGTTGGACAGCAGACTACATTTCTGAAATGTGTTATCGTCGTGGTGAGTGCTATGCTTATGCTTCGAGATCATGGATAGATTAAAGGTCTAATTCTCTTTTATATTATTGTCACATGTGCACACAGCCTCTGAGAACTAATGACATTTTACTTAATCTTGTAGCAGCGAGAGTACATGCAATGGTGAATTTTGTGGACAAACAAACTCGACAGGTAACCCAAACACAGTCTCTTGTCTTTGTAACTAGGCTTACAGCTCTGGGATTTATGTTATATATGATTGCTATTCCAGCATGAAATGCAAGTAATTTTCAGATGCCCACTTTAAATTGACCTCCACACACCCCACGTATACACAAATACCATAACAATAGACTCTGATTTCAAATATTCAAATCTAAATATTTTGCCTACCTGTGTTTCACTGATTTAGACACTCGAACCATCCCTCCAGCAACCATAGGAGATATCTTTGGATTTTTTAACTCTCCAAGGATATCTTCTAAAACATTACCACCTTCCTGGTCGAGTTTTTTCTAAATAGAAAAGGTGAACGATTACCAGACAGATTGTAGCAATTTAGGCTTTATGCCATCTAGTCAGTAGTGTACAGAGTGAAAGGGATACATATGCATATATTGCATTTAAATTTTAATGGCATGCAGCTTGTATAATAAGTAATTTAATTACAAATACTGAGCAAGTGATATATTATATGTGAAACAAAATATACCTCAGATTTAACTTTTTGCTTTGCACTCCCAGCCATGAACATGTTTTTTATATTTCGTGACTTGACAGCAGGTTTTTCTTGGTCCAACCCCGATGCTCCACCTGTGTGTTTTCTTGCATCGCCTTTAAACTTCTCTAGTATTGAAAATGCATTTTTAATTGAATTTAATCTTGAAATTTATATACTCAGTCATGTCTACAACTGATTATCATGTGTATGAATCAAATGACTCAAATATGAAATAATACCATTCACAACACATATTTTATACTAATATAAAGGCCGACAACTCAAAAACTAAACTCTAAATTGTGAAAAATACTTCAGTTTACTTTTTTTGCTCGCAAGCTCGTCTTCATTGGCCTCCTCATCAAAAATCTCTCTTCCATCTTCAACGTATCCACTGCCATCTGTGAAATCAGATATATACATGAGTGAATGACACATACTGCTAATTAACATTACAACGAATTCGAGCAATTAAAATTTGTTAACATACAAATAAATCATTTATTTATCACTTGAATTTTTCTATCTTGTTTCTTATTCTTTTCTCCCTCTTCTTCCTTGTCTTTGGGAACTTTTCCCCATTAATATCGTTTCAATCTGTTTTGGAGAAGAAAATCAAATTGGGGAAGATTTTTAGTGGAGATTGCTCACCATCATCAACAATCCAATCATCCTCCTGCCGTTGCTGCACCAAATCACAATAGTCACGTTCAGCCACCTCATCGTATACACTCTGTATCTCTTTGACCTACGTGGAACAAAAATATAGCAATACTGTGGTAATTTAAATGAAAAACAACTATATTATACACTACTGCACTAGTTTAATCCTAATGGCAATATTATTTATACTCATATATAAAATATAGCCACGCCAGATTTGCGCTGCGAGCCGAGCGTATCACACGACGTTTTTCGGGGCCATGCCAATTTGGCACGAGCCAATTTGGTCCATCGAAAACGTCGGACCAGGCCCGAGCCAAATTTTAGCACCAGCTTCGGGCGCGAGCGGTGAGGCGGTAGAATCGTTTGACGCGTAGATGCCGCGAGTGTCGAACCGTGTACTTCGACAAATAAAGTCCAAAACAGTATAAAAATTCGAAAAATTTGATCAGGATGCACGTTTCAAGATTGATAATTGTACTCGGATTTATTTGAATTTAAATTTGAATTTGACACACAGTATTCACTTGCGTACGTGTGAACGCTCCGACTCAAACCGGCCCGAGCCAAATTTATAGCCCATTTGGCTCGAGCCAAACCATGACCGTGTGAACGCGTTGGTGTGACAGTGACGCTCATAGGGTCTATGTCCCCAGGTACTGCGGAACGTACCCTGGGTACGGTCCGGTATACCAGAACGTACCCTGGTCACTATTTGATATGGTTAGGGTTAGGATTAGGGTTAGGGTTAGGTTTAGGGTTCGATTCGGGTTAGGGAGTAGGCGTAGGCGACTCCCTAGACTCGTTAGTGGAGTAGGCTAGGTACGGTCCGGCATATATAAGTATAGTACCAGGTTCGTTCCGGATATCCGACCGCGTACCCAGGGTACGTTCCGGCAGTACCCGGGGGACATAGACCCTATCAGCGACGCTGCGACAGTGACAGTGTCAGTGACGCACGAAGGGTCGTTGTCGTAACAGTACTACAGATATGTACCCCGAGGTAGTTTTAGTTGTTTAGTATTATGTTATATTTTTATATGAGGTATGTTTAGGGTTAGGGTTAGGGTTAGATTGTTAGGGTTAGGATTAGGGTTAGTGTTAGGGTTAGGGTACATTTCTGTAGTACAAGTCTGGTACACTTTGTGTATACATATGATATATGTACCTCGGGTACATATATACCTGTTACGTTACGACACCGACCCCTTGAGCGTCAGTGACAGCGACACAGTGACAGTAGGCCTACGGTACCGGCTACCGCTAATACATGATATGCCTTACTTCAATACTTGCTCAGGTTGGTGTTTTACATCATCAATGCCGATCGATTATAATTTATAGTCAACTCATCATCACACAGTGACACGACTCATTCTCCGTTGTGTACTTTTGCCATGACTTTTGCCCAAGTTCTTTTGCCAGCGTTGTTATCACGCTGATTCACGGGCTATGGCTGATTCATCACGCAGTACTTGTGTTTTGGAAACATGGATACAAGAAATATCTCATAAATTATCTTTATGGTTTAAGCAATAGATTTCAAGCATAACTTTGTATATATGTAGCTGAATATACTTACTTTGCTAGCTAATATATTAAGCTAATTATATTCATTTACAAAACAATGTTATCGCATCGCAAAATTACTACAAACCTTTTCGCGCCAAATTTTGAGGTGTTTTGTATGCTGTAAAATGGGCGCCAGGTGAAGATGGCAATAACACTCCAGGTATTTACTATTATTACTTAAGTTTACCACTTTAAAATCCATATTTTGAATGTATTTGGCAGTATTAAGTTATAAGAAAGCTCAAATGTTCCCAAACACCGTAAATCTTTTGTACTCACGCACTACTCGGTGAATAGTGATCCGTCTTCGATACACCCGTCCCTAATTCCCTTGGACTTTGAAATTGAACTGAAGACGAGCACAGCCTCAGGCACTTCAAGTTCAACTTGGAGCGTTTCAATAAAATATAATGCTAAATAAATACGAAATCTATTTAATACCAAAGTCTTAATGTTTCTCTACTCTCTTTCACCTATTATTGCCGACAATTTCCTGTAAATGCCGTCCAAATACTTATCTGCAACACACAAGTACACCGCACGCTATAGCTGCTGCACACTGACACATAAATACATAGCCTTAGGCACTTGGGCCGTTTCAATAATAAAATGATGGTTAATACATACAACTTGTCCGTACTAGACCTACCAGTACCAGTAATAGTCTTAATGTTTATTTGATCTAAAAACTTCACTTCAAACCGTCCAAATACACGCTGCAACACATTCCTATGCGCACGCCATTGTGCACAAATACACAGTAATATAGTATATACCCTATATTACTGTGTATTTGTGCACAATGGCGGCACGCTATAGGAAATGCGTGTTGCAGCGGTGTATTGGACGGTATTGAAGTGAATTATTAGGTCAAATCAAATATTAAGACTATTACTGGTACTGGTATCTAGTACTGACAAGTTGTATTCATTAACCATCATTTTATTATTGAAACAACCCAAGTGCCTGTGCATAACTATATCGCAGTGGCTACGTGTCTGGAACCTGTCGCCTAGCCTCCAGGCTGCGCATCGGGCATCCACTCACACAGTGATCGCGCGACTCGCGTACACGCATGATTGCACACGCGGACGCTCTGCTGATTGTCGGAAAATATACAATATGCACTGCTGCCGTCGTATCTTTCATCCGTCCTCTCTCGCTCTCTCTCTCTCTCTTCTCTCTCTCTCTCTCACACACACACGCACAAGTCTCTTCTCTCTCTCTCTCACGCATACACACACATACACATTCCCTCTTTCTCTCTCTCTCTCTCTCTCTCTCTCTTTCTCTCTCTCACACACACACACACACACACTCGGCAATCAGCAGAATGTCCCGTTGCGCAATCATGCGTGTACGTGTTGCAAGATCACTGTGTGAGATGGATGTCCGGACGCGTAGCCTAGCGGCTTCTCGTCCGGAACCGGTCGCGTAGCCATGGCCTAAATATATAGCAGGTAGGAAAGCGTGCTGCCAAAATTCGCTCGACGCTCGCTTGATTTCATACGAATACAACACAAATATTCAACCATTCTAGAGCAGGTTTATTTAATTGCTCGTTAAATGGCGCACAGGTCAATACAAATGGCCTCGCTTTCTTTTGTGAATTTGTCAGCATTGTCCCGCATCCAATGCGTCAGAGACAAATGGTTATTCCTATAGATCTACATTCTACTCCATCTTTGTTTCTATTTGAAGAACAGTGTTCACTTGTTATACAAACATACTGTCTGTGTTTGTAACCGAGCTGTGTCACGCGAAATCACACAAAGTCTGACGAAATTCTCGCGTTCGCTCCCGTTGCGCAGTTTATGTAAATGGCTGTCGGAATCAGGAATACCCACCGGGCTCTTCGGGACCTCATTTTGCGCTGCAACGCTGCAACGTTTTTGCAATGCTCCACTGGCGGCTTTGACGAGGCTCATACGTTAGTTGGAAAGCAGCGTGGTAGTTTCCCAAAATGCAGTGCGCCGCCTATAGCCCTGTACTTGCAGCCTTTACATAAACTGCGCAACGGAGCGAACGCGAGAATTTCGTCAGGCTTTGTGTGATTTCGCGTGACACAGCTCGGTTACAAACACAGACAGTATGTTTTATAACAAGTGAACACTGTTCTTCAATAGAAACAAAGATGGAGTAGAATGGTTGAATATTTGTGTTGTATTCGTAAAATCCAGAGAGACATGATACAAGATTCGTGGCCCAGCTTGCTGTAGATCCTGAGCGCTGCGCGCGGATGAGACGCGCAGTTCCGCGGGATATGCGCACGCGACCGCGGGATGTTCAAGTATGAAGCGCTGCCCGCAGTGGAGACGTGCGCCAAATTCGAGGCCCGGTGCACGTCTCCACAGCGGTCAGCGGATGTCTGTCGTTTTAGAAGATGACAATGATTATATATTGACGATATGTAGGAATTGGAGATTATAAAACCGTAACAAAAAATTGGTCAGTCATTCTCCAGATTAGCTGAATCAAAAGATTCGAATTTAATATGAACAAAACAAATACAAAGGTTATAACATTCACAAAACAAAGAAAAGATAGAGAATTTAATAGCAACCAAGTATTAAAAAAATGCACAAGAACAATATTTCATACTAGGGGATTTAATTAATGATATAGGAGGTTATAACGATATGATAAGAGTCCGAACTTAAAAATGTAGGTTCATGATGAGGGAAATATTATGCGTGGGCAGAAGAGCAAATTATGGAAATCATACTATAGAAGCAAGAGTAAAATTATCGAATGCACAGTTTGACCTTCCTTCCTAAATAACAGTGAAAGATGGACTAACTTAACTAAGGAAGAAGTAAAAATGTTGGAGGATTTCCAAATGAGTGCCTGCGTAAAATAATAATCACGCAGAAAACCTACCGAAAGGCATTAAAAACGATGAAAACTCCAAGGAAAATACGGAGAAATCAGTAAAAATAACATATAGTTTCTATACGTAAATTGGTGTAAATACATATAAAAACGCATTATTTTATTGAAAATTCCCATATTAACTTATAAAACATACCAAGATGGCGCTGTGGCATGTAAACATTATCTCGGATTTGCCTCCGAACATTAATTGTGTTGTTTTATTGAATTGTTTAATGAATGACGCACTCGTTCACTTCCGACAGCAAGTAAAAATGCAGAACATTTTCCTGTTCGATTCGAAATACATCGGCCGGCATTTCATTATTTACAAAAAGAAAACAGGCTGGGGAAAGGAACCGTCACGTCGGTGACGCCCCATTCATGCCCATCAACGAAGAAGGCGGGCTTATTCTTATTAGGCGGAATGCTAAAATGCAACAAAAGTACGTAGCTTAGTGCGCTAAACGACGTGTTATTTCGT